GCCCAACAGCAAGCCCAACAGCAAGCCCAACAGCAAGCCCAACAGAAGCCAGGAGTGTCACAATTGGTCTTGCAACAAATACCAAATGCTTCGCAAGTTCTGCAGCAGGCTCAACAGCAAGTGGCGCAACAACATGCTCTTCAACAAGCTCAACAGCAAGCTCAGCAGCAGGCTCAGCAGCAAGCTCAACAGCAAGCTCAACAGCAAGCTCAACAGCAGGCTCAACAGCAAGCTGTACAACAATTGCAAGCACAGACTTTACAGCAGCAAATTCAACAGCAAGAACAACAACAGCTTGTACAGTCGCAATTAACGCAAGCTCAACAGCAGCAACATGCAGTCAAGCAAGCACTGCAGCAAGCACAACAACAAGTTGCATTGCAGCAGGCTCAGCAGCAAGCTTTGCAACAGGCTCAGCAAGCCCTTCAAGCCCAGCAAGCGCATCAACAGGAAGGGGTTGCGCAACACCTTCCTCAAAGTCAACAAGCAGCTCAGCAGCATCAAGTACAGTTGCAGATTCAAACCCAACCGCAATCCCAACAGGGACAACAAAGTCAACAACAAGTGAGTGACTCTAATCACATAAGATGATCTTAAAATATAAATTTACTGTAACAGTTGGGTTTAATGCATTAGCAGAATATATAATGAAAAAAAGGTGCACAAAATAATACAAAACTTGCTATTCTATAAGTCGATTGATCATACTTAATGGTATCCACTAGTAAAGATTTTGTGATACACTTTTAATGTGATTACAGTAGTTTCTCAATACACTTTGAAGTCATATCAGATGCATTTCTATCTCTTCAAGCTCTGGCTCCTTAACTACAGTTTAGCCGGAGTCTGTGTTCACTTAAACACACAACAGCATAAATAACACTGTGTTGGAATCCCTTTTGACAAATATTTTATTTAGGAAGTTTTCTACTCTTTTGGAAAAAAAAAAAAAAAAAAAATTACAACTTACCGTCAGAGTGTGTAAACAATTATTGTGGCTCAGGCTGCTGTGGTGGTGAAGCCGCCTACTGGGTTGCCAACTGCATTGCCAGCTACGCTACCTGCACACCATATCCTGGTGTCAAGCGGTGGGCAGCTGCTGGTGGCATCCTCAGCTAAACCAGCCATGCCGCCGCTCCCCGTGTCTCCCCTCGTCACTAGTGTCACAGCAGCCATGACGCAGGTACCGTCGCCCGTGGGAGGCCATTATTGGACTGCCTGGAATGAAGTGCTAACTTTTCAGTATTTTATGATGAAAGTCTTAGTTTTGACTTTGTTAGTTGAAATGTCACTGACAACATTGGTTAAGTGTCTTCCATGGAAAGTTGCACCTCATACATATTCCAGAATGTCTTTGTTGGCAATTATCTTTCCTCCCCTCACTCACTTGCCTTGGTCTGCAATGTTCGCATTATGGTTCTTGCTTGCTGCTTAGCTCACCATCCACCTTGTCATATTAGACAACCATTAAACTAACAAGTTTCAGACTAACTCCATCAATGTTCGTGTAGAAAGTAATAAATAATAGAGATAGGAATTAATTATATTTTTGTTGGTATTATGTATTTTACTCTTTAGTTTTGGAGGTATTAGTACTTCCAAAATCACTTCAAAATATGAAAATATTTGTTTTGACTATAGGTTATCTGCCTGTTAGATCTGCATGAGCCTCAGTGAACTCATTGATATACAATTTTAGTACAAACTGTAATTTTGATGGTTTGTTCTGTGTTTCAAATCAATATTTTGAGAATGCCACTCTGTGGTTGTACTGGAGAGAAATCAGATATGTCTAGCTGTCCATTGCTATTTGGTATAGCATATGCATCTCATATTATTATCTAATGGTCTCTTCCTATTCCACTGTATGCATCCTGACATCCAACTATCACCGAGATTTTTTATAAACATTTAATGTGTCGTTTTCTGGGCCATTTATCTACACTTTCACTAATCCAAGCCTGATGGGCAATTTGTACATAGCAGCCCTCTCTCATGTGAAGTCCACAAACCTCTATCTCTCTCATGACCGGGTGCCTTGGTGCACAAAGGAATGTTGCTTCAATTAATAACTATCAATCAAATACATACATATATTCTTCCTCATAATTGTTTCACCCATATCTTAGGCTTCTCTTTGATCCATGAGTGCTTGGCAGCTCGCTGAATGTTTACTGATACTATGCCCTTTCCCACATTTTAATATTTAAATATAGACAGTTATTTTTTTTATTTTTAAGCTCTGAAAGATGCTTTGAAAATTTATTTCTTTGTTAAACGAACTCCTGTTCAAAGTTTGAAGAATAATAACGCATGTAATATTTTATCAGTTTTAGAACTCTTAGAGTTATTTCAATTTTAATTAGTACTGCCTTAGGAAAGACTCAGTTAATTAAGGTTTGACATCTTCTTCTCTAATTTATGTTTAAATTATGTAGATTTTTACATTTTAAATTTTTGTTTTTGGACGTCTTTAATTTTTGCAGTGTTTTCACCAATTCTGCCTTTTCACATCACCATGACTTTCTGTCTCTTCCCATTGTAACATTGTTTTTAATTTCCTGACTAAATGAACACTTGTGTTTTTCAGGTGATTCCTGCTGTTGGCATGATGCAGCAAGCTCAGCCCATGCAGTTGAGTCCTATGGTTATCAATGCACTGAATGCACTGCAAGGCAATCTAGTACTTCCTGGTATGGGAGGTGTTATTGGAGTTGATGGGCTGACCCAAAATATGCAGATTCCACAGTTGACACTCTCCAATTTAATCCAGGTAATATTTTTCAAAAATATTCCTCTTTTCATTGTTAGTTCATGTGTTAATATCAATACTAAGGTTATCTTTTCATTTCAGGGTGATTCAAGAAACTTTTTGACTCAGCATCAGGCTGCAGCTTTGCTGTCTCCCCCTGAATCTGCTTTAAAGAAAAAGAACAATAATAAGAAAAGGAAGACACCTGCTCCTCAAACAGTTTCTGTTCAAATTTCCACTCAGCATCAATCTCATCAGCCTCAAAATATTGCTCCCGCTTTCAGTTCACCATCTTCCGTCAATGTAATAGCCAGACTCTTATTCTCGGCCGATCTTGGTATAGCTGTGTTTTAATTTCTTATCTTTTTGCTATGTTTTTACTTTAAATTGCAGGCTCATTTTGGTGGAGCACCTGTTCTTACACTTGTACCAGGGAAAAACCCATGTGCTCCTCCTCAGATTGTTGTAAATCATGCTCCTGCAACCCATAATCCAAGCACTCAACCACCTCAGCAATCCCCCTCACAACAAACGTCTCAGCAGCAGCCAACATCAGCCACATTAACCAGTGCACAGCCGCTTTCATCGCCAGGCCACATCAACTTACTTCAACCTATGAGTGTTGTCACTGGACCATTGCAACAATTTATTGTTCCTGGATTAGTTATGGCAACGGACGGCTCAGGAAATGCAACTCTTATTCAGGATCCAGTGGGGAGTATTGCTAATATTCAGAACATTCCTAATGTTCAAACCATCTCTAACTTGCAGAATATGGGGCTTCAATTACAGGTATGAACAGCTGAAGGCCATTTGAAGTATTTATTATATCATTTAATATTGTTTAAACTTTTCTTTTAAAACCATGCACTTGTGTTCATATTTCAGCTACAAAATGTAAATGGACAGAATGTTTTAACTCCTGTCCAAACTCCCGTCCAAGTTCAAGGTACATCAGGATTAGTTTTTCAGCGTAATCCTGCTGGTGGAGCACCCAAACTGACTACAGCACAGTTCATTACCTCACCTACAAGCCCTGCACAATTTATTATTCCTACCTCAAGCACGGGTAAGGATGATTATGCAATGGAACATGTATCTGTTCATTTAAAACAAAATAAAAAAAGTACTCTATATGTGATGCAATTATTAATTCTCTTAGCATATATGCTTTTATTTTATTTTTTTGTTCTTCTTTTCAGGGGGCACACAGTTTATCATTCCTACATCTTCATCACAAGGTAAGGCCCCCAAGTCTTATAAATAAATTATTTTTAAAATTAAATTTTATAAATTCAGATAATTTTTAACTCGTGTATGTTTACTTATTCAGGCACACAATTGCTAGCTACTAGTTCCCCCGGTGGTGGCACTCAGTTCTTAACAACTGCTGCGGCATTCGGAGGTCAACTTAGTGGTCAACTTAGTCCTCTCCTCGCAAGTCTTAGTCCTAATGGCCAGCTTCAAGGACAACACATTGTAAGTGTTCTACTCATGCCCCATTTAAGAAATTGAAGTATCCAGGTACAGTTGTTCATTTTCTTTTTCTTTATTCTGTAGACTTTAAGTACAGCCAATGGACAAACCATCCAAATGGCAGCTAGCCAGCTTGGTTCTCAGACACTTGTAGTCCCCTGCACTCCTTCAAATCAAAGGCAACAGACTCAACCCAAACAAGAGATTCAAATTGCTGTCAGTCTGGCCCAATTGCAGCATCACGCTGATCAGCAGGTTAGTACTTTTTATTTCTATCTATCAACTTTGCATGTTTCCACGGTAAAAATTTAAAAAGGGAGGGGAAAACGGGGGGGTGTGAAGTCCACAAACCTCTATCTCTCTCATGACCGGGTGCCTTGGTGCACAAAGGAATGTTGCTTCAATTAATAACTATCAATCAAATACATAC